GCAGTCTTTATCCTAGGAAGGAGAGTAAAGGTCACACTTTGTGAATGGGAATACATAGTCATTGTTTCTCCCAGTTGGAGGCTGTTATCTTTTCCTGATGCTGATTACATACTGGCATTCTAAAGGGCCTTTGCTCTCTTGGCTGTGATTTCCCTTCAGCTTTTACTACTGAGAGAATGTCATTTCTTTGGGCTTTTTTGGTTTGAATAAGTGTCTTTTTTGATCTGAACGAGTGAGATTGTGAAGAGAAAGAAACTATATTTCTTGAATTGTTTGTTTTTACATGGGGATTTACCAAAATGAGGACCATAGATGATTCTATACGTATACTATTGGGTCTTCCTAAGTGACAGTGAACCACCACAGACTTTGAATGGAGAAAATTGAGGATTTTGGCGTTTTGGACTCTTTCTCCACTGTGAAGACCTCATCAGTTTGCTGTAGTGTCTACCCTGATTTTCAGTTGACCCACTCTTTTTTTACTGAATTATCTGGATGGATCTAGTTGGAGACGTCTGCCATTTCAGACCACGACTGGTCTACTCTTCACCCTATACAATTTTTATCTAAGTCTTTCCATAAATAATAAAATCTAAAGGTTGTAAGGGACCTCAGAGGCCTTCCGGGCCACCATCTACATACAGCTTAACATGTTCTTGTACCTACACGAGACTCTCCTCTGCAAAATACCTAACAAAGTCTATCCAGCCTTCCCTTGAAGACTTCCAGTGAGGTCATTTTCTGGACATTCTTCAGCTTATCAAATGTCCTACCCAAAATTTAGGTCAGAACTGAACACCACATTCCAGATTCTGACTAGACCAGAGTACAGAAGAGCTCTCACCTTCCTTGTCTTGGATGCTATGCCTCTCTAAATGTTGTTTATAAATCCAGTTGACTTGTGGAGCTGCCATGTTACATTGTGGACTGCTTGCAAGTCATTAAAACCCCCAAGACTAGCTTATTATCTGACTCTATTCTCCTTCCCCCTCCCAAATTTTATCTTCGGAGGAAGTTCCATGTAGAGGACTCAACCTAGTGGAGATTTTTCTCTGGTTTTATTCTTGCTGCTACTGTCAGTATTCTTTTAATTTCAGTGCAACGTTCAAGTTGTCTGTTATGCCTTGCTCTGTCTACATCAGCTGTCTTTATTTTATTTTATTTAACTTTTTAACTTTATTTGAATTTTTAAAATTTATAATCATAAGCGTTGGGTTTTTTTGGTGGATTCCTTTACGTCTCATACGAATTGGTTATGTATTGTTTTAGAAATCAATAATTTATTTTAGCACATCAGTCAGCATTTGACAAAGCTCTGACTATGTGCTTGGTGCCATCGCCAGTGCTAAAGATACAAAGACAAATGAAACAGCCCCTGTCCTCTTTGGAGCACACCTCAGTTACTTAAGAATTAAACAACACAGTCCCTACCTCCCCCATAAATACTTTCCATTAAAAAAAAAAACCGTTAAGCCAAACTTTTCAGTACAACAATTGTGACTGACAGTCGTGTATTTTACCATTTGTTAACAGATTATTAGGAAGGATACAGGTTTGAATTTCAGTAACTTGGAGCAAATAGCGTCCATTGTGTTTGACCTGAATTCTGTTGCCTCCTAGTGTTTTCATTTGCATTATCTTTACATACTGTGCATTTCCTCTGCTTTCTTTACTCAGTGCAGCTCAGTTTTATTAGATTACTTGTCAACTCTGTTTGCCTTTACATGCTATAGACTACCTATGGGCTAAAGAATGAATAAGTAAATGAATGAATGAAAAAGAATTTATTGAAGCTTGTTTTTTTGCCGAGCACTTTTGTTCTGAGTCCTGGGGTTACAAATGGCAAAGCATTTACAAAAACAAAAAACCTTTCCCCCAAGAAGCTTATATTCTAATAAGGGGAGATAAAACAAACAGGGATTTGTTGCCCAGGGTACTGTGCTTTGGTCTAGGAAGTTACCGGGATGGTGAAAAAGCCAAAAGTGATTGATTGTGCATTTCCTTAAAATGTGGACCTTTGACAGTATGGCAAAAAAAAAAAAAAAGAAGACAGCTGGACTTGAAATTAGTAAGAGTTGGGTTCAGATCTTGCCTCTGATACTATCTGACTATAGACTAAAGGTTTTTTAAAACTTTCTGAGCCTCAGGCAACTCTGATTATAAATTAGCCATTATAAATCAGTCCTTTCATATCCATATGAAAGAGAAGTTCACATGGATAGGGAGAGCATAAACAGTCAGGACTGTGGCTTGCACAGGGTCATAGGTGGAGACCTTTCACAAGTGACTTGATAGCTATTCATTTGGCCAATCAATCAAAAAACCTAGCATTTATTAAATGCCTATTATGTGCCAAGGATTGCACTAAGAACACAGTTTGTTAAATACATTTTATGTATAGTTCACCGTACTAAAGCACTGGGAAAGAAGAAACAAGACACTGCCTCTGTCCTCAAGGATCTTACCATTTAGTGCATGCACAGATAAATGTAATGCAAATAAGAAAAAGATAAATACAAAAGGGAAGTACGAAATACTAGGAGGAGGGCAGCTAGGTTGGTGCAGTGGATAGAGCACTGGCCCTGGAGGTAGGAGGACCTGAGTTCAAAAATCGGGCCTCAGTTACTTGACGCTAACTAGCTGTGTGACCATGGGCAAGTCACTTAACCCCAATTACTTCTCCTACCCCCCCCAATACTATGATATTATATTTGAACTTGGCCTTGAATGCTGGTTCAGATGGCAGTAAACAGATGGAAGGAGTTCACTCTAGGTCTGGAGTACAAGAAGTATATTGTAAGGTAAGCCTGGAAACACTGGAGTTTTGGCCTTATTCATTAAACAATGGGGGCCATGGAAGGTTTTTGTGAGGATTAAATTGGCAGTAGCGTATAGGATAGATTAGAGACATACCTGTACCAGAACCATCAAAAGAACTATGAATTAGGGTCGGAGCAGTAGGGGTGCATGGTAGGCATGTTGTGGAGTTAAGATCGGCAATTCTTGAAGACCAGTAAATGAGATGTGGAGGCGAGGGAAGAGTCAGAGGTGATGCTTAGGGTTCAGTTTCCGTCTTGAAAGGACAGGAATGAAGTTTTGGGGGAAAGATGTTGAATTTAAGGCACTAATTAGAGTAAAGGTATTGACTGAAAGTCTGTTCAGTGCTAGGACTGGATTAAGCACCATTGGGGATACAGAGAAATATAAGAGAAGGTTCTGTCTTCGAGGCATTTATAAGTTTATCATCTAGTTTCAGAAACTAGACAGTTGTGGAGCCCTTAGACTGCAGTAATGCACACCAGGTAATGAAGTGATCATTTGGTGGCACAGATGGGAAGTGTTTCTGGCCTACAGGAGGCCGAGGTCTGTTTTGAAAAACTGTCCTGTGGAAGAGACTTTTCCCACTCAGCCCTGAAGGGCTGGACCAGCAACAGTTGGTGGAAGTTGGTTGAGTCATGTTTTCATTCCTGTTCCATTCTTTGTTACCCTAATTGGGGTTTTCTTGGCAGATACTGGAGTGGTTTGCCATTTCCTTCTCCATCTCATTTTAGAGATGAGGAAACTGAGGCAAACAAGGTGAAGTGGTTTGTTCAGGGTCACACAGCTAGTAAATGTCTGAGGCTGGATTTGAATTCAGGTCTTCCTGATTCCAGACCCAGCACTCTATCCACTTCTCCACCTTGCTGCCCTTAGGCCTATCCAGAAGTGGAATGGGCTTCCTGAGGAGATGGTACGTTTCTTTCTCATTGGAAATTTTCAAGAAAAAGCTGACTTCTTATCAGGTGTGTTGTTGTAGGGATACTTTTTTCAGTACCAATTGAGCTTCATTGATTCTCCTTCCAAATCTGAACTTCGATGGTTTAGTGTGTGGGGGTAGGTTGTCAGGGAAGGCTTTGGGGAGGGGGGAGGGGGAAGAATTTGAGCTGCATTTTGAAGGGTGGGCACACTATGTGTAAATGGGAGAGGAGGCATTTCAGGCTGGGGGGGTAATACCAGCATAAGACACAGTCATCCTGCTGCTGAGACAGTCATAGTTATTCATAGGACAATAATTTTTCTGGCAGTTGCTTTTTGTGGTATAGTGGAAGAACAGTTTATTTGCAGTCAATCTGGCCTCTGCCTCTGATTAGCTTGAGCAACTTAACTTTATTTCCTTGGGTCTTTCTTCATCTGGCTGCTAGGTGAGCATTTGGATTTCTTCCAGTTCTGGCCATCTATGATGGCAAAGACTGATTCCTTAGATAAGTGATTGGTTCAGTCATTCAGTCTCATTCAGTAAGTAGGAAACCAGGGAAGAGCAGTGGTTATTACCAAATAGGTTGCTTTTTGGATTCCTGGTGTTTTGTTTTAAATCACATAATATGGCCTCAGTTTTAACTCCTGTGACTCTTCAAGAAGGACTGGTGTGTGATGCTTTCTCACTGTTGACCTTGGTCTAGTCACTTACCCTCCAGCCCTTAGTTTCCTCATCTGTAGTTCACCTGAGAAGACCTTTCCAGTGCAAAATCTAGGATCTGTGATTTGTCCCTGCCACTGTTCTGGTTTTCAGACTCACTTTTAAGATGAAGAAAAACAGAATACAAATAATTTACGCCTTTCTCATTCCCATTTGGATTCTGATGCAACATGAAGCATTTGTCTGGTATTTTTAGATAGTGGAAACCACATGCAGCCAAAGCTAGAGGCTTATTTTAGGCAGAACATGCTTCAAAGTAAGCCCCTGCCTACACTTCCTCCATTTGATTGTCGACCTTTTTTTAATAAGGCCTTTTGGGGGGAACTTTAGAAGCCAATAGAGTGTAAAGTTCCTTGAGGGCAGGGATTTTTTCCCTTTTTTTTTTTGTCTATATATCCAGCTCCTAGCACAGTGCATACAGTGGGAGCTTATTGGTTGCTTATTGAATTAGAACCCAGACATCCTCTCCCTCCATTCCAGCATCCTCTCTTTTCTAGTCAGTTTCTCCTTCTCTGCTGACCTGGCTTCTTTTTCTGCCTCTCAGTTCACAACAGGGACCTGTAATGAAGCCATGGTGTATAGCTGCGAGCTGTGTGGCAAAGCCTTCCGACTCCAGCGGATGCTCAACAGGCATCTCAAATGCCACAACCAGGTGAAAAGGCACCTGTGCACCTTCTGTGGCAAAGGCTTCAATGATACTTTTGACCTGAAAAGGCATGTCCGGACTCACACAGGTAAGGAAGAGTGTGGTGGTGGTGGTGGTGATGAGGGTGATGGTGATAGTGATATTGCATCGTCTGCTCAAGTCACTTCATGTCTCTTCCTGGTATGAAATTGACCCTGGAATCTCAGGGCTGTGCTGAGGCTCACAGAAACCCTGACTGGTTCTACTAAGCCAGAGTTCTGGGCGTGGTGGTCTACTCAATATAAGTCTGGCCAAGTGCAGACTCATCCCTAGGTGGTTCATGTTTTGGGCACAGCAGTTTTTTTTTTTAATTTTGATTTATCAACAGTCATTTCCATAAGCTTTTTAGTTTCAAATTTTTCTTCCCCTCCCTCCCCAAGATGGGGTACAATCTGATGTAGGCTACATATACATATACATATACACATATATATATATATATATATATATATATATGTGTGTGTGTGTGTGTGTGTGTGTGTGTGTGTGTGTACATATATATATATATGTGTACATATATATATACACACACACACACATATATATATATATATATACATTTCTATTAAACATATATTTCCACATTAGTGATGTTATAAGGAAGAATTAGAACCAGTAGGAGGAACTGTCAGAAAGGGGAAACAAAATAAAACAGAAGGAAAGAAAATAGCAAATAGCATACTTTGGTGTACATTCAAACTCCATAATTCTTTCTTTGGAGGTGGATAGCATTTTCTATCATGAGACCTTTGAGATGTCTTAGATCCTTGTATTGCTGAGAAGGGTAAGTCTGTCAAAGTTAGTCATCATACAGTCATGGATCACACGCAGCTGTTACTGTGTACAATGTTCTCCTGGTTCTGCTCAGTTCACTCAGCATCAGTCCATACAGATCTTTCCAGTTTTTCTGAAGTCTGCCTGCTCATCATTTCTTATAGCACAATAGCATTCCATTATATGCCATAGCAGCTCTTAAAAGTCTTCCTTCTACTAAGGTCCTGAAGTGTAGTGGTCTGCTTTGGTGGAAGTGCCCAAGCCAACGAAAAATCATTAGACTATTGAAGAAAAAAGTTTAGGTGATTCAGTGGTCTTTTATAGAAGGGACACATTCTTTTTCTTTGAAAGTTTTATTAATGCTCTTGTTTTATGAAGCAATCCTTTTTTGATACGCTTCTTTCTGGCCCATTGAGCCTGCCTACTAAGGAAAAAACCGCTAATAGCTAAACAAAACCAGTCAAGGTAGGGGCAAGGTCAGGTGCATTTGCTCCATTCTGTATTCACAGTCTCCTAGTCCCTTACTTTTTGACTAAGAGATGAGGAATTGGGTTTCATCATTGGTTCTCTGGGGCCAAGATTGCCCACTGAATTTAGGCTGCTTTTCTTTATAGTTTTTTTTTCTTTTTATTTTCAGTTCCAGATTCTTTCCCCTTTCTTGTCTACCTTCTTCCCCACCCGTTGAGAAAGCAAGAAATATGACAGCTGTTAATACTGATGCATCATTGTTGTTATTTTTAGGGCTTGTATATGTTGTTTGCTTAATGCTGCTTTTTTTTCCCTTCACTTTGGATTGTTTCATATAGATCTTCCCCTTCTTTAAACTTCTCAGTCATCATTTCTTACAACCTTGTCTTTTCCCAGTCCCAAAGTCTATTGGAAGGAACATTTTTGGGGAAATTATGCTGTGGGTAGAGAGTGTCAGGCCTGGAGTCAGACCTGAGTTCAAATCTAGCCTCAGATGCTTACTAGCCATGTGACCCTGGGCAAGTTGCTTCACCTCTTTCTGCCTCAGTTTCCTGAATTGTAAAATGGGGATAATAACAGCACCCGCCTCACAGAGTTAGGAAGAACCAATAAGATGTTTGAAAAGGGCTTAGCATAGTGCCTGGCACAAAGTAGGTATTTAATGGTTTTCTCCTTCCCCTTTTTCTCCCACCCCTCAGTATGGAAGAAAGAGCACTGCATCTGAAGTTAGAAGGTTTTGGTTTTTATTACAAGCTCTGCAACTCAGCAGCTACAGGGTTTAGGGCAAGTCATGTGACCTGAGCCTTGGTTTCCTTGTCTATAAAATGGGGATAATAAGACCCTGGTCTCTCTGCCTCATGGTTAGTGTGGGGACAAAGTGGGATGTACAGGTGAAAATATTTGGAAAATTATGAAGAACCGGACAAATCCAAGTTACTGTTAATTATTCCATGTTCTTCTGTCTTCTTTGACTGCTAAGATAGTAGTTCTTGATGGCACTGTTCCCACTGATATTTTATACAACTTTCCTGGGAAATGAGCCTAGTTCTAAATGGCGCTCTGTTCCTTTTGAAAGGACAAAAACAGAAGAAGGGAGAGTTTAGTTCTGCTTGAGATTCTGCCCCAGCCTCCCACTCTGACCTGGCATACACTGCTTCTTGTCCCTTCGTGTCCCTTCATGTCCCTGTTTGGAAAAGGCATTAAGTTTTCCTTGTCTTCTAACTCAGTGGCCATGGCGTTTTGTCAGTTAGTCGTGTCCGACTCTTCCTGACCCCATTTGGGGTTTTCTTGGTGAAGATAGTGGAGTGGTTTGTTATTTCCTTCTCATTTTACAGATGAGTAAACTGAGGCAAACAGGGTTAAGTGACTTGCCCAGGGTCACCCAGCTAATAAGTGTCTGAGGCCCCGTTTGAATTCAGGTCTTCCTGACTCCAGGGCTAGTGCTGTATCCACTGCACCAAACTGCCTGCCCCAACCCAATGGTGTCAAACTCAAATAGAGTGGGGGCCACTAATCATACATACGTAAGGATCCCTGCAGACCAAATACTGACTTAGTCTTAAAATGTAAAGGTATTATTGTATTTTATTTATTTTGTTAAACATCTCCCAGTTACATTTTAATGTGGTTTTAGTTGCACTTGCCAGTGTTTGACAATGATAATGGGAAAGTGTTTCACGCACACAAGTGAAGGAAAGGGTTCTCCGAGGATGTTTGTACAGTAGACAAGGAGACTGGGGACTAAGCCAGTAGTCGTTGTATTTGGATTGTATAGACAACTGATTCAGGAAAAAGAAGGACTTAATTAAAATAACTGTAGACTCCAAGCAGTATGATGAGGGTTCTGCTCAGTACAGATATCATCTGAAGGCCCCAGATCTTTGCTCTTCTCCATTTGGTGGTCTTCTGTGGTCATTCTCTTGGCATTCAATGGGTGTAACGAAAGAATCCGAGTTTTTTCAATAGTTGTCTCTTCATCAGAGTGGATAGCAGGAGACTTGATAGCAGTGAATAATGGACTTGGACAGCCTGGGTCTGATCCTGCTTCAAACACTAGCTGTCTGATGATTGGCAAGGCAAGGCACTTTGCTGATCTCAACCTGATTTTCCTCATCTGTGAAATGGAAGTGATAAAATATCTGTAGCACATTACTTTATACAAAGGGATGTTGTGAGGATCATATTGGATATTATGTAAAGCACTTGGCAGAATTATATAAATGTCAGTAGTGATCATGATGATGTAGAAAAATCTCTGTGTGTGATTAGGATATGTGACATTATTTTTTATGATTTCATTGGCATGGGGCTTTTTCAGTGAGGAAACTCCCTCTGCTGATGCATGTCAGCAACTGTTCTAATTTATTGTCTTAGAGAATTGGCTGGGGTACATTGAGATGGAGGTTAGGTGACTAATAAGGAGCTTAGAGCCAGTCTATGTTGTGCCTGTATTCTCTATTACACTACCATTCAGCTGCCTCCCATGTGACATTCATTATACAGTTAATTACATTTTACTTCAGTTGCAGTATGGAACAGTGGATCGAGTCACCCTTTGATCAATAAAGACTCCACATTGCTTAGACCATATTGGCTAAAATCTATTGTGCCTAAGTTGAACTCTCAGGGCATATGAAAGTAGAAGGTCCTCATTGAAAAGTTTTTCTTTTCAGTGTGGATGTAGAGCTCCATTAATGGTGTTTAATGCTCTGTGTGTGTGTGATCTCAAGTCTGTCCATCTGCATCCCCCTCCAACAGAACGTGAGGCAACCAGAATTTAGCTAGCCCCTCAGGTTTACATTTATTGAGTGTTTATTGCATTTCAAGTTCTTTGGATTAAAAAATGAGCTGAGTGCCTAGGCTAGAATTTATAGTCCAACAAGGGAAAAGGAAGATAGAACGCTAAATATTTACTCTTCTTTGTATATGCCATCTCCCCAGTAGACTGTAAGGCCTTGAGGGCAAGGGCCTTTTCTTTTTTTGTCTCCGTAGTCTTAGCTTAATACAGTGATGTTCACATATTAGTTTGCTAAGTTGAAATGTAAACTTAATTCAGATGCCCCAAAATATGTGTATGGGAGAGTCAACGAGGAAGACTGGATTTTGAATCACAGTACCTTAATTCACATCTTGGCTTTGTTGCTGCTTATTATCTATGTGACTTTGGGCAAATCACTTTTAATATTTGGGCCTCAGTTTTCCCATCTGTAAAATGGGGGAAGAGGGTTGGACTAGGTGACCTCTAATGTTCCTTCCAGTCCTAAATCTGTTATCCTAGGAATTGGGGTTAAATTGGAGTAAACTAGCTGGTATTATAGAAGTCTTTGTAAAGGAGGTTAAATGAGAATTAGTCTTGAGGGAGAAGGACATAGTTGAGTTGGAGAGGAACAGAGAAGGCATTCCAGATGGGGAAACAGCTTGGAATTAAATTAATTTTATTTTAGTTCAAACAATTCAACAAACATTCATTAAGTGGCTATTTTGCTAGGTTGATACACATTGGATGGGATCCTTGCGCTCATGGAGCTTACAGTCTAGAAGAGGAGATAGTAAAAAACTGTAGGTTAACAAATAACTTTTAATTATGATCAGTAAGTCAACCAACAAATGTTAATATTTGCCTGCAGTATGCCAGTCACTATGCTAGCCTTGGGAAGGCAAGTTACAAATGCAAAGAATGAAACAAATAAATGTCAAAGTAGTAGAAAGCAAGTGTGTGTAAGAGTCAAGGATGGAGTGAGGAAATAAACTGACCTCTTAGAAAGATGATTAGCAAGTAGGAATTTTTTTGTCTTTGTTTTGTTTTTG